TGTATAGCTTCCTTTGTGCGAGTATGTATGTTGTATAGCTTCCGATTGAAGTATTTAGATAAATTATTGAAATAGTCAACGGCCGACTTGGTTAGATATTTCTTTTAGAATAAAACATGTGCAATTTATTTCATAAGGTAATTCCGTTTCTTGATTCTCGTGTTATCGATCCCGACTCATGAAATTTTTAGTTGATTGTCCTAATCGTGGTGATTCCAAAAATGTAGACGAAATTCAATTCCGATCTACCAAACTCCGTAAACTTATGTTTAAGGTTTCACGATTAATAGGATCCGATTCGACAGATGGTTTAAGAAGTCTGAGATATTTTTAAAGTAAATTATAAATATAATATATTTAATATATCTTATTAACATAAAATTAAACACAGTTGGTCATTAATACATAACGGTTCGCGGTGGTTTGACCGTCAAACTCTGACCAATTTTTACCAATTGTTACAGAGCACTTGGATTCGAATACTTTAGTTGAGGGGGAGCATTTTTTCGAGGGGGAGAATGAGAGATTGGATGCTGAAGTTGAAGGGGAGCATTCAGGGCATAATGAAAATATTCATGATTTTAATGATGAATGTTCAATTGTAGGTTTAGAGAATGGTGATTTATACGAAGATCCACCTTTGGATTTTGATCCAGCTTATCCACCAACGAAAAAATGGACAAAAGATCATGCGAAGGATCAAGTAATTGGGAATCCACAAGAAGGAGTATTAACAAGAGCTCAAATTCGTGCAAAGAATGACGTATTGAATACTCATCAAGAATTTTGCATGTTCAATGTTTTCATCTCTAAAATCGAACCAAAGGCGGTTAAGGTTACAATGGAACACTCAGATGAGGTTGTTACAATGCAATCTGAATTGTCTGAATTTGAACGAAACAAGGTATGGAGATTAATTTCTAAACCTGAAAATGTTTCGATTCTCTGGTTAAAATGGATTTTCAAAAACAAAGCCGACAAAGATGGAAATATCATTCGAAACAAAGTCAGACTTGTTGTTAAAGGATATTCACAACAAGAAGGAATCGACTATGAAGAAACTTTTGCCCCTGTCGCAAGACTCGAGGTTGTTCGTATATTTCTGGCTTATGTAGCTCACAAAGACTTTGATGTTTATCAAATGGACGTGAAGTGTGCATTTTTAAACGGAGAGCTTGAAGAAACAGTTTACATGGAACAATCCCCACGTTTTATTAACGAATAACATCCTGATCATGTGTGTGTGTGTGTGTATATATATATATATATATATATATATATATATTAGATAAGGCAGTTTATGGGTTAAAACAAGCACCACGAGCATGGTATGCAACTCTTACTTCTTTCTTGAAGCAATCTAAATTTAAACAAGGATATGTTGACCCCACATTATTTCATAAAAAAGTTGGGAATCAGCTAATGTTTGTTCAAATTTATGTTGATGATATTATTTTTGGCTCAACTAACCCTGCTTTGTCTAGAGAATTTGAAAATCTAATGAAAAGTAAGTTTGAAATGAGCATGATGGGAAAGATAAATAACTTTCTTGGTCTAAATATTCGTCAAAGCAGAGAAGGAGCTTTTATTAACCAAGAAAAATATAAGAAGAATCTGCTAGAGAAGTTTGGATTGACGAATAGCACGAAGTTACGAGTTCCTATGGCAACTGGCATAAAGATGACACCTTCGTTAGATAAACCGGCAGTTGACCTAACTCTTTACAGGAGCATGATTGGTTTATTACTTTATCTTATAGCTAGTAGACCTGATATCATGTTCTCTGTGTGTAATTGTGCTAGGTATCATTCAAATGCACGAGAACCACATCTCACTGCTGTGAAGAATATCTTTTGTTATCTTAAGGGAACAATATCGTTAGGATTGTGGTATCCTTCGAAAATTGGGTTCTTTCTTCAAGGTTATTCAGATGCAGACTTAGGTGGTTGTAATCTTGATTGAAAGAGCACAAGTGGAGGATGTCAAATGCTTGATGGCAAATTGGTGAGCTGGCAATCGAAAAAGCAAACGTGTGTATCAATTTCAACTGTTGAAGCAGAATATGTGGTTGTTGTTGCTTGCACATCACAAATTATATGGATCCAAAGTCCATTGCGTGATTATGCAATTAATATGAAAAAGATTTCATTATAATGTGATTCTCAAAGTGCACTAAGAATTTGTCAAAATCATGTGCAGCATTCGAAGACTAAACATATAGCTCTTCGTTATCATTTCATCAAGGATCATGCGGAGGATGGAAATATTAAAGTACATTTTGTGAAAACAACTGATCAGTTAGCTGATATTTTCACAAAACCTTTAAATGAAAAATCCTTTTGTAAGAATTTTATAAGGACTTGGAATGATTGATGGAAATTTTGTTCCATGCGAAAAGGGAGAATGATGGTTGACCAGGAATGATTCAGAGGTGCTGAAAAAAGGTCAACGCAATGTCATTCAGCATTCAGAGGTTACTGTTCGTAGTCAACGCTTCAACCCCTTCGAATTCGTAAATGTGTCACTTTTCAGAGGTTGATAAAATTTTGTGTGTTTGCAACAAGTACATTTTGTTTGTTATTTTATTTTCGAAAAACACAAAAATCCAAAAAGATTTTTGTTTGTTTTGTCATTTAATTTTCGAAAAATTAAAAATCCAAAATTTTTTTGTTTGGTCATTTAATTTTCGAAAAATGAAAATTTTAAAAATATTTTCGTTTGTTTTGTTATTTAATTTTTGAAAAATCAAAAACTAAAAAAGATTTTCTTCTTTTTAATTTCAAAAAATCAAAAACAACAAAAATATTTTGTTTTTCATTTTTTTAGTATTTTGTTGCAAATATTTATGATGATTCAACTTGGGGAATGCTTGCAGTTCTAGGGTCAGGTAAATTTTCGAATACTTTGAACTAGTTAAGTTGTTCCTAGAAGCATGTTGCAGCATGTTGACCAAAGCCTCCATTGACTCAATATGTGTGTACGAAAGCCTTAATGAAATCTTTCATACGAAAATTTCTTCCCGATCAGGCTTGAATTCATATTAGTCTCATGAGCTACTTGACTCTTCTCACATGAGTTAAGAGTTTGTTGTTTTGTCCAAATATAACAGAGGTACATTTCGTGTCGTACAACAATCTATTTCATTTGAAAGTTCTTACACGATCACACACGAAGAGATATGTCGAAGAGGTCTCAGATCAAACCACTCGAGAGTTAGACATATCAATAATCTGTGTTTATGATCTGACATCATGAGACCGTTATGAAAGTGAAACCCAATTTTCTAAAGTTTTAAGGAATTGACGGGGAACTATGTTCCAGATTTTCACGAGTTTTTTTTTCAGTACTTCAATTCTAAATTCTAAATCATATTCATTTAGTATGAGTGGTCTTAATCAAACATTCGAAACCCACGATGTTTGTTACCCAACAAGATCCAGCACAAATTTTTCCATGAATATGATTTCCGTGTGAGTTTAATTTGAAATCCAAAGTCACTTAAATTATTTTTTTGTCAAAGCATACTTATCACTGACTACACTGGTCAAACAAGTAATTTTTGTTACAATTTCTCACCTTATGTTTAGGTTGATATGTAACGAAATTCTTATATCTACCCATGCAGCCTACTAAAATATTCCATTCGATACTTATCTACAAGTATTTGATTGTATATCACGAGAACATACACAAACAGTTGATCATCTCTCTTGATGATTAATGAAGTAACCTTTGCCCGGGGTTTATATTGCTTTTGTGTCGAAAAAAATTGATTGACATCACTGACTTCCAATTTTTCTTATTTTTGCTTCTCATCTAATTTTTTTTGGAACACTACACTCACGAAATCCTTGAGGTTCTGAGAAACACCAACTCAGGCTGATGATTTCGAACATCAAGCAAATGACTTTACTTTAAAACCCAAAAGTGAAAGAAACTTACTTCCATTCGAAGGGTTCTTACGGTTACAATTCTATTGGGTCAAACAATACAGCTTGTTTTGTGGTGACGTATGGTATTCTGTCCAGGTTTCAAGAAGACGTGATAATTACTTTTTCACGCATGGCTACTTTTATGGGGTAGTGGTCCGATATTCAAGGTGCCACGTTGGATCTCATTAAATGCACATCCCGCTTCAAATTCAAACTCCAAGGTTACATATAAAAGGGGATTCAAGGGTTTGTTATCGGTTTACGCTTTTAGAAGAAAATTTCCCAAAATTCTCTCTGATACTCAAAGATTTTCCAATCCTAACCATGGCTACTCAAACTGATGTTTCATCCTAAACAACTGAAGATGTAACTTCACAACCAATCATGAAGATTCAAGGAACTAGCTACCAAGTAGAGGCTGATGTTTCTACTTACCTGGAAGAACTCAAGATGTTGATTATCGCTTTACAAAGTTTCGTTCTATCCAAGGCTATGTTCCAATCTTTTGTTGTTCCTCTTTCCTGGTTATCTCAAGCAGGATCAACTGCTACTTACAACAAAGCTTTGGATGTCATCACATTGAACCTGGTGAACGATAATAAGGTTAGACTATCCAAGAAGCTATTTTGTCAAATACTGGAAATCCCAAATTCTCCACCCTACATTGATCTGCAATTTCCCCAAATAGTACACATGTTCAACAAGATGGGTCATCAACCCCAACTTACCAAGATCAGTGATTTCAAGAAATCTAGTCTTCCAAGCATTTGGAACTTTTTCTTTGGAATTTTTCTGAGGTGTTTAACTGGTCGAACTGTTGGTCTCGAAAAAGGAAGGATGGAAGCATATGCCATGGTTGTTGGGCTATACTATGATATTCCGGTGGAGTATTTTACACATTTTTGGAACGAATTCCAAAAGAGTGTTGAAAACATGAATGCAATTCAAGGCATTTCGTATGCAAGGTATTGGAGTTTGATTTTGCAACACTTGTATGAGAAGGAAAGGATTCTGGTGAATGTTGAGGAGGAGAAGGCTAAATTCTATACATAGCATTATCCGAAGAATATGACTGATGATGCAGACGAGTTTCCATTTGTTGCTCATATTCCAGATGCTATGTTGAGGCGTTTTGATCCTACGAATGTTGTTTTGGTGGCATATTTGAAAAACATTGATCATACTGTTCAAACGGGGATATTGTTGCCAAGGGAAGAGAAGAAGTTTAAATGTTCGAAGAAGAATGAACCGGTTTCTTCTAAAAAGCTTGTTACTAACACCAATTCAAAGTCTCCAAAGAAGAAGCCTAGTAAAGTTAAGAAGCCAGTGGTAACTGAAGTGTCTGTTGATGTGACTATTTTGATTGAGCCTGTTGTTGAGGATACTCAAGATAAAGTGGTTATTCCTTCGAAGAATGGTGTTTTTCGTAGAATAAAAATGAAGTCTAAGCATACACGAAAGTCCCCGACTCTTAATGTGGTACGAAAGCCTCATGTTACTCATCAGGGTCTCATTATTCGTGAAATACCAACTCTTGTTTCTCCATCGTCTAAGAAACGAATGGCTGAAGATATGGCTAAACAGATTTCTCAAAGGGAGAAGAAGAAGACAAGAAAGCTTGTTATGGCAACCGAATCCACAGAAGATGAAGATGAACGAATTCCTGAAACATGGTGACACCCTTGGGTGAAGGAGATTCGAAGAAAGAAGCTCAAGGTAATCCTGATTCTATTACCTTATAAAATATTGTTTCGTTACCTCCACAAATCACACCAATTACTTCAACCGCAAACTCACCCACATTCAAAAATATTATCAATTAACCCTTTACTTCCATTTTTTCTTCTCAATCCACTGATCCAACCAAATCCAATTCCCCTGTTAAAGACTCAATTCTTATGGAAACTGATATTGACAATGAGGATTTTGGAGGAACCTTTGAGGAATTGGAGTTTGATGACGAAGAAGAAGATTTTCCAGATCATATGTTGATGACGATGAAGCAGTTTAAGATTTTGAATACAAATTTGAATTCCATAATTCAATATCAAGCTGATCTGGGGGGGTGGTTTATCGGTTTCAAGTTTGGAAGTTGATACGATGTTGAAAATGTTGGAAGCAAAGGTAGTGAGTAAAATCTCTGGGATGGTTAGAGACTCGGAATCCAGAATTTGGAGAAGGTTGATCATAATGATTAAAACAATGAGCTAAGGGTGAATTCTCAAAATTCGACATTTTTGGGAGAAGTTAAAGATTTGAAGAAACTAGCGAAGGACCGACATATTTTTTTCGTTCAAGATGTCAAGAAAGTTCGTGAAGATGTAAATTTGCAGATTCGTGAGCTTCACGAAGATATGCAAAAAGAGATTGTAAGTGTCCGACAGGATTATGCATCTTTGAATCAAAAGATTGACATTATTTGTGATGCCGTTACAAGATTTGTCAAGTTGTACGATAGCTTGAGTCCTCAACTTACTCAACTTTCTACAACGGAAAGTAAAATTTTTCTGGAAGTGATTAATTTGTTGAAGGAGCTCAAAGAATTATCTGTCAAGCCGGTTTCGTCTTCTCTGATAACTCCTGAATTTTTGTCTCAAAAATTCACACAATTTGAAGCTATTCTACACAAGCAAGTGGCCCCTCTTTCAAGAATATCGAGCCTTCTACCAATAACAGATGCTCCACTTATTTCTACAAGAGTGCAAGGGGGAGAAAGAAAGGTTGAATATGCGAAGGCTGGTGGTGAAGCTTCGCATGCAGATGAAAATGTTGTGGGAACGGTGTTTTCTACGAAGATCCCAACAACAGAGCCAATTATGTCATCTGTTGGGCCAGTTACTTCAACAGTGTTTACTACAATGCCAATTTCAAGGCCTATTACAAAAGGAGTTGTTATTGGTGAGGCTACTGGTGGGAGCAATAAGAAGCCAAAAGTGACAGATGAAGCTTCGAAAGATAAAGGAAAAACCATTGTTGTGGAAAAGACTTAGGAGGAAAAGAAAGCTGAAGTTGAAGCAGAACTTGAAAGGGTGAGGTTGGTCCAAAGCATTATGACTCAACGTGAAAGTTCTCCTCTAGGTTTGGATAAAGGTGATCCATCCAAACATTAAAATTATGAAAAAAATCAAAGCCAAGGTTGCATACAATCATATGTATCTGTTCGAAAAGAAACCGAAGCAGAATTATGTGGTAACGAATACTGATGCAGGTCCGCTAGACTTTCCAGGGAATGGGATGATGTTTATCATGCCACAATTCAAAGCAGAAGGAAATTTCAAAGTAAAGGATGAAGGTACTCACATGAAGATTCGATTTGATGTTGTTCTTGCCAAATTTGCTGAGGAAGTCTGGTCATTGGTGAAGATTTAAAAGGTTATCAGTATAAAGAAGGATGTGGTATTTGAAAACACAATCCAAAATATCAAATACATTGTGGCTAGGGCAAATGGAAATATTTGTGATTTCACAATTGCAAATTTTCCATTAGTGAACTTGCATGATCTTATACAAGTTGCATTAATTTTGAAAGATAAATCTTTTTCATATCATCAAAATACTAAACCTGATGAATTCAAGCTTGGGGTTGCTCACATCAAGATTTTCATTGAGAATTATTACGATTGTTTGGCATTAACGGATATTGAATTAGGAACAGCTAAAGGTTTGGAAATAAAAGCTCTGATGGCACCTATGAAGACCCAAACTAATTTGAAGAAGTATACAGATGGGGAGATCTTCTTAAAGCCTTTTGGGTTGGTATTCGCTAGAAAAGCAAAACGATTCTTGTTCCAGGAAAGCGAAGGGGAAATATATTCGACGTCTCAATATATGAATTTAATTATTCGTACGAATCATTGCAAGAAGAACAATGAAGGAGATAAGAAAGAGCTAAAGAAGATTATTTCCTGGTACATGGAAATACGAAGGGTGATGTTGTATTCCATTCAGCTACTTACAAATTAAGGAGTTCGACTATTATTACAAAGGGGGAGATTGTAAGAGTCAAAGTATGTTGTAATTAGTCGAAATCTGTCAAATACCCATCGTATGTTTTTGTAATGTATTTACCAAGGTGCTTTTATACAAAGCTTAGTGTCAATTCCTTAGTATTTTTTGTGCGCCTTCTGTTTCCTATAAATATGGACATTAGAGTTAGATAAGAGTTGTTTTACAGAAACCTATCTTTGTACTCTGTAAACATTCGAAAGCGTAATAGAGCTGAAAACAAGATCGTATTTACATCCATTGTTCAATCTCGCATTCCTACATACTCTGATTTGTTACTTACTCGATTCTTTGATTCATCAATCCTACTACAGAATAAAAGGATCATCGCTAATAAAAGACAACTACTAATTTAAATAAAGGTAACCCCAAATAAACGATAAAAAGATAATTAATAATTTGTCGATAAACTTGACCAAATCGACGAGTTGTATCATTACTCAATCATCATGTCCTCGAGGTGGGAATCCAAATTATGCATTTGAGCTCTTTGGCATCTCTAGATCCATAAGTTTATGTCTCATCATTATCATATGCCAACAAACATGGAGCATTCGATTGATGTGTCGACGCCTGAGCGTAAATCTTTTATCTTATTGGAAACACAACCCTTTCGCCCTCTTGTCTTGCAATTCTATATTCGTTAACCTTCGAACTTAGTCCCCAACTTGGCCAATAGAAGTAACAAAAGTATCTATTAACCATTGTTATGATCATGGAAGGCCTCCGCTCACCTGATATTTCATTTAACACGATTATTATCCTCAGAATGTGTGTTAACTTTTTGGTGATCGATAATCCGAGCTCCGATTTCAAACCCATAATATACATTTCCTCTAAAATTTGTTCATCTAACTCTCTGAATTATCATGCCACCAGCTCGAAACTTTTCACATAATCACAAGTGGTTCCCTATTAACAATTAACTAGAACTGTCGGTACAAGCTCGCTTCGTATAAGCGTTGGAATCGCCACTTGAACCCTTTCCATGTGTGAACTGGAGACATGCATGTGATCCATCGATACCATAATAATGTTACCCCTTCCATATATAAACTTGCTACCTAAAATTTGTTCTATCTCTTTGAGTCCTCGATGCCTATAAATTCAAAAAAGTTGTTCGATGTGATAGATCCACCCATATGCATTGTCCACTTCAAATATCCATCTTTAATTTCTTGTACTCCATCCTTTTGAACATATACCTATTTTTTCTCTTGGCTTAACCAATCATGGGCTCACGTCACAGTCTTCTTGTCTTTCTTTCTAGCAACATCATTACCACGAGGGTCAAGGGAAAAACCAAAATAACCAGAGTACGGATCTTGGGCAACATGTTGCTTATGAACCTCCTTGGTGGCCAAGCTTCCCATATTGTTAGATTAAACGTTTATAACTTGGAGAATATTTTCGATTTGTTGGATGCTCTCCTTGTGCTTTTTCCTCGACTCCTGAAACATCTTGAAACTTGGTGAACCTGACTTCCAATTTTTTAATCCTTTTGTTTTCCACGATGAGGAAAAAGATGTGAACAACATTGTCGTCATAATCATTGCTTTCATACTAATATGATACGAACCAGAAAAATAATTAATACACAAAAAACCATAAATATGGGTCCCCCAAAGTCTTAAGTCAACCTTAGGTTTTGTAAATATTTAGTCACTAAACTAATAATTATGTTTGATCAACCATTCAACTTTTACGGATTGTTAAAAAAACATTACGACTAGCTATTATAGGTTTCTTCGTGTACATTGAGCCGCTAAACTTGTGTGTGTGTGTGTGTGTGTGTGTGTGTGTGTGTGTGTGTGTGTGTGTATATATATATATATATATATATATATATATATATATATATATATATATATATATATATATAGTCACTCATCTTTTTCCTTACACATTTTACCATTCAACTTACATATGTGTTCATATAATATAATGTCAACAAATAAATATTTTACAAATAAAAATATGTATTTTTTAAGTATAAATACATATTATAATGCATAATTTGCATTTTTACTTTTAAAAACCATATCTTAAGGTATACATACATATTATTTACTTAAATCGTATATGTATATAATTTAAACACGATGAACACCTCCTGTTTAGGCTTTTTAGATTTGTGTTTAACTTCGTTTTTCGAATCAAAATGCGCACAATTACTTGTTTTTTATATCAACAATTACATTACAAATAGAAAAGGGAACTAGAAAGGCGGTTGAAAACGATTTTGAGCAATTGTCTAGATGTCAAGCTGGTTGACAACTCTAGCCAATATGTTAAGCAAGTGGCAGGGGGCTCTACCCTCTACCTCTTCCTATATAAGATGTTGCCCATTGACCCTGCAATGGAATACAATCCCCAAGGCACTGTTATTTGTCATATTTTGGATGAAATGATACGAACTAGAGAATGCAAAGAAAAACCAAAAATGGTTCATGTAATTCGAGAAATAAGAGTCTCCTATAAATAGTGTTTAACTACTAATCCTACTGCAAAATAAAGGATGACCACTAATAATAGATAACTACTAATTTAAATAATGATGACCCTAAATAAACATAAAATAATAATTACTAATTAGTTGATAAAGTTGACCAAATCGGTGATTCATATCATTATACCCACTAAAAATATCCACCTTGTCCTCAAGTTGGAAA